CATTTTTGTATGCAGTAATCGGTTGCCCTTCAAGGGTAACTGGTTACTTGTGACAGCAGAGCCCAAAACCTCATTTTTTCTGCTACGGGATTCCAATCTTTTTCGCCAAGTATTAGTTTTGTAAACATGCCAAAACATATCAATTCATGTAATCATCGACACATAATATATACCACAATTATAACACTAGCATCACCTCAATTTCATCACTCTATCACCATTCAAAACGTCAACAACATACACAATTGTAACTCAATAATGACAACTTCACGATCAACCGATATTTTCTAAAACATTGCAATCATCTGAGCTTCATCTTCCAAGAGCTATCCTACTTGCTTAGCTAATATCCTCATGGGATCATCAAGAAATTTCACACCTCTTGTATATCACTAATCGCCACATTGCTCTATATCCTCTGAGAAGCAACCTTTAACAATTCTCTTTTTCCTTCGGAGGCTACTCTACTTGACCAACAAATAAAAACCTTGAATTCGTACAACCTTCAGGCATGAAAATCTACATAGACTCGCCAAAACACTTTGTAATGTCTTGGTTTAATTCCAGATAGTTCACCCCAAGGCTAACATCAAGTTAATCCAACATTTCTCTCTAATGACAAGTCGCAATTATCCTCCGGGAAAATGTCAAGACTCACCCACAACAGACACATCATTAGTCATAACATTGCCCTCCACTTCTAGAGATGCGAACAACACGAGTACTTGATCATTCCCCCTTAAGAACACTTCATCTGACTGTTAGACTTAAATCTTGAATCTGTGCTTCCTTCAAAATTGGAAAAACAACACAGCAGCATTAACGTCTGCACCCGTGCACTTCACGACATACTAAACCAACTGTTCACACCTGAACCATCTCAGAGAAGCACAAGCTTCTCCCCCACTTATTTCAATCCCACTTCTGCAACAAGTGACTAGAACAACAAGAAAGTACCAACAATGTTTAACACACATGTTGCATACTAAGGAACAAACAACATTAGACAACTTGGTCGGACGGACCAACCTGCTCCGATACCAATTGTAACACCCTATTTCCCCATCAGTAATTTATATAATAATCAGAGTAATTAGTTTCTAAATAAACAACAACCAAATAGGATGCCAAATGCTTTGCTAATCACACATGCTCAAAATTAGGATACACAATACAAATCGCATGTTCATAAATGATAAACTTCAACACATTTATTCACAGCGGAAAAACATCAATATATAGTCATCTCAATTCTCCAATCAGAGTTATAATTATTATCTTTCAATATCAGCATAATCATAAAACAATTCAAACAATGGAGCCATACAAGTTCGCTCCTAACATAAAAAAACAAATCACGCGAAACCCTCAAGTATTACGTATCAGAGTAGACGCCGACTCAATCTACACACTGAAGGAACTCCTCGGCTAAACTTCGATCGCTAACTACTTCGAATCATATGCACGTTACCCACGTGGAGGTAAGATTCAAACAGAAAGGGTGAGATTTCATAACAATATAAGAGAAAGCATAATAATGAGCAGGTACAGATTCACGTACAAAATCAGCACATAACATTCATCGTAATACAACACATACTTTCATCAATATTTATCCATCGAATTATCGATCACAATATGATGCAAAAAACCGACACAAACTCAATGCATGTGGTACCAATAGGGTAAAATCCTCTTCGCAATAATTCCATTTTAGGGAAATAAACTTCACTCTCCAATACAGGCCTTCGCTGCCAATACAGGCCTTCACTTATGAATGCATGCGACACTGACATGTAATAACTTAATTTCACATTGATTATTCTTACCTATCAATGTCATGCCAATACAGGCCTTTGCTCATCATCATTATCAAGCATATCATGTCACACCATTAAAACATTCATGCAACATCATCGTATTCACAACTTCACAATTACATCAAAATGGCATAATAAGTCAATACAAGCCACCAAGCACATATCATAGTGCATACATCATCATAACATCGTCACATCAAGAAATATATTCACAACTTCACATTGGTATCGTGGCATATAATTCAAAAATACATCCACGGATAGGTATCAATGTTGGTGAAATAATTAAATACTGCATTATAAGAAATTTTTCTAAGATAGGAAATTATTTTATCTTTCCAACAGTTCAAACGACGTGTCAAATAGACACCCGAGACAAAATTTATGAGTTTTAGAAATTTTCCAAAAATGCTGTCAGTAGTGGTGGTAACCGGTTACCCAGTTATGGTAACCAGTTACCGCAAGACAATAACCTTTTCCTTTTCAAAATCCCTCGTGGTAACCGATCACCCACTTATGGTAATCATTTACTGCAAGACAGTAGCCAATCCTGTGTCAATATTTGATATGGTAACCAGTTACCAGATTTGGGTAATCAGTTATCCAATGATTATAGAAAAAAAATTCATGCAATCCTTTGTACGATCCTCCCATGTTCCAATCCCCAAAATTCATAGTTTTCAAATCCAAAATCATATTTTAATCAGACTAATTACTCACCAACATTTGTATACCAATACTAACCAATTCGTGTCATCAAATCTCATCACAAACACATCAAAATCACCAAAAATCCATCAATGGGGAAAAACCCCAAAACAACCAAATCTATAGAATTCAAAACATAAAATCAAGCAACCTAAATCCTACCATACCCCATCACTAGGAAACCTTTTATAGAGTTAAAATCCTCCCCTTATCTTAAATTATTGGTTGATTCTTGATTTCTACGATAAATCCTTACCATAGCTTCCTAGAGCCTTCTCTTCTTCTACCTTTTATACTTTTGTTCTATTTCACGTACTGACTCTATTTTCCTTCTCTCATTCTAATATAGCCTAATACTATATAACTATCACAATTAATTATTTATTAAAATAATACCAATCCTATTATTCTACTAATAATTTCATTTCAATTATTATAAAATAATAGTAAACCTCATATTTAACCAAAAAATGCCAATTATCGTTCTCACCCTTATGTTTCTACACTTTTAGCCATACACCTCCATCACTTCAACTTGTATAATTTTAAGACATCTCATTATTAACAAATTCATCACGTCACATCATAAAATCCATCAACTCATATAATTTCACTGTATCATCTTATTATTTAATTAAAAATAATTCTAATTAAATTGAGATGTTACACCTTCACTCTCCATCTCTTCGATCTTGATCAAGTGGTTCCAGAACTGCGTACCACGATAGCCTCAAAGACGCGCCCACGTAATTTCCACGGATTGCATAATCTTTTGTATGGGGCCTAAGTCCGTCGTTATAAACACCCCCCATTTTTCCTTACTATTTTAAATTGTAATTTGCACCCACCTTGCGTAATTGGACCAAACTCAATTTCTAGGCTTAGCCCCTACTATTTAGACCTCTCAGATTTACTACCCAGTTACAAAATGCACCTCCAGCCTATTTGGGTTCAAATTTACATTTGGACCCATATATTTTTCTAATACACCACCCCACTCTAATTTTTACAGCCCCTCAAAACTTAAGTAATTAATTTCAATTATTTTTTATTTGATTTTATTTAATTCATATATTATTTTTATCATTTTCAAATTAAAATAATTTTGCATATTAATAAATAATTATTGAATATTTTTATTAAAAATATTAATATATTTTTAATAATTAGAAAAAATAGTTATTTATTAATTAAATATTTTCTAAAATCACTAACCCTATTTTTCTAATTAAATTAAATTTTTTTCTCATTCAAATCTTTTTTTTTACATATTGTATACATATTCTAAAACAGCTAATCAATAAATACTAATTTCTTTTTACAGACTTAATTTCAAATTCAATATATTTTTAAAAAGGATTGTGGAAATCTTTTATATTAGCTACGAACTGCGTCTATGATTCCGCTATTTTCAACTCAGCCTTGAATCAAGGATTAATTCAAAATACTTTCACAATCCATAAAAAAAACACTACGAACTACGAATTGAGACTCTGATTCCTCATAAGAGGATACGTAGGCACGCGGCTTAAAAGCTAAGGCGAGTTCCCCTAATTAAAACTCTATCCTACTCTTTTAACCTAAACCCTAGGACTTCCTTGAGAACAAGGTAGATGAAGGGTGCCTAACACCTTCCATTCGTATAAAGTGAATCAAGAACTTAGAAATACAATTAGGGTTATTCCATTATTCACCCGTCGTTAGACCAAAAAGTAGTGGTGGCGACTCGTTATTTTTGGCTAGTTACGACAAGATGGAAGAGGTTGAGACCTTATCCAAGGTAATCACCATCTCACCAAATGGAAGATGAAAGATGAATGTCTCTTCATGCCATTCCTCAATAAAAGTAGACAACAATGTAATGTCGAGCATGATGAGGGAAAAGTCCTCAGACGAAAGCATGCCGACAACATCAATAAATTCCCTTACCTCATCTGACATCACACATCATAGAAATTCTACAACTTCACCTCATAGGTGGACACCTTCAATGGAGCGTTATTCTATAATAGTTAAAGTATAAACCATGAGTTATTTTTAATTAGTAAGTAATAAATAAAAATAATTTAAAATAGTTTTTTTAAACTTTCTCTACCATAATCTAAATTCCATTTTATCAACATATCTGGTGAACAATGTAGGGCCACTGGGTCCTCAAGCAAACCCTCCATAAGTGTGTGCATACAACATCATATCAGTCTGAGCTGCAACTTTCGTATTAGCTACAATAAGAACCTCCTTATGAGCTTAAGAAAGAACCACAATATCATCTTGATCGGATGACTTTACGTTATCAATAGCGATAACAACTGCCTCGACATCAAGATATTTATCCAGTCAAGCTCTACCTCCTTTACATTGTAGAGTATGGGGTAAGTGAGACTATTATATCTTCATTCCTCGAGAATAATGAAGACTACTCTACCCACCCTAATATGCAACTTCTCCCTATTTGCCGCCTCCACTAGAGCTTTATGCAGATGCTCTCTCAGCTTTGTCGACCAATGTATTATTATTATTATTATTATTATTATTATGATCATCATCATCATCATCATCATCATCATCATCATCATCATCATCATCATCATCATCATCATCATCATCATCATCATCATCATCATCATCATCATCATCATCATCATCATCATCATCATCATCATCATCATCCTCGTCGTCGTCGTCCTCGTCGTCGTCCTCGTCGTCCTCGTCGTCCTCGTCGTCGTCGTCATCATCATCATCATCATCATCATCATCATCATCATCGTCATCACCATCATCACCACCATCATCATCATCATCATCACCACCACCACCATCATCATCGTCATCATCATCATCATCATCATCATCATCATCATCATCATCATCATCGTCATCACCATCATCACCACCATCATCATCATCATCATCATCACCACCACCACCATCATCATCATCATCATCATCATCATCATCATCATCATCATCATCATCATCATCATCATCATCATCATTACTTCTTATTCTAATATTTTACTTGAAATATAATTATTAATAATAACGATTATAATCACCATTTTATAAATTATTTAACCTTTACTTGTCACTAATGATTAGTATTTACTAATTATCTTATAGTTTAACATTTTTATTCTAAATGATTATTAAATAGAAATATTACTTACATTTGATATAATAGTTAAGTAATTATAAATAAAATCTGATATACCATCTTACTAATTATCATCAACTATCAATTATTTACTCTCTTCTAAATTATATGACACGTTAAAAAAATTGTCTTAAATTAAAAGTCACTTTACAATTCTAATGCATTATTTATAAAAAAAATTCTAATATACCCTTAAATATTTATTATTATTCATTCTTTCAACTGTCTTAGTTTCTTCCACTGTGTAACTATGAGGGGTGTTACTGTAAAATCATATATAATTTAACTTTCTCCTAAAATAATAATTAAACTTCTTAATTCGTGTGAAATGTCTAAAACCTCTTATAATTTAGAATGAAGGTTGTTAAGAAGCAAATTAGGAACCCTAACAAACTAAGAGAAAGCTAAGAAATAAAAGACAAATAAAATTAACTAATAAAAATAAAGACATTTTCATTTCATTGATATCCTTCAATGTCTTTGAGACTAAATATATAATAGTCATATTGAATAATATAGTAAAAGGCTCAAAGGCTAAAATCTCAACTAAATTAAATTCAACTTCTAACTTAAATATTTAAATTAACTACATGATCTTATCATTACATACCCTTTGAAAATCAACATTGTCCTCAATGTTGTAGAAAATATAATGAAGGATAGATAAACACAAGAAAGGGGGGAGGGAGGGGTGTGGGGGTTGAATTGGGGTTTTCAATAATTAAAAACAATATGAGACGTTTGGTTATCCTGGTTCGTTTGGTTATCTGAGGTTTTAATCCACTAATTAAAACTTGATTACAATTCATGAAGACAACTGCCAACGTCTTCTTGAGATCAAACCACAACTTGGTTTCTCAAAAAATTACAATTCACAAAGACTACCGTCAATGTCTTCTAGAGACTAAACCACAACTTGATTTCTCAAGGAATTACAATTCACAAAAACTATCGTCAATGTCTTCTTGAGACTAAACCACAACTTGGGTTCTCAAGGAATTACAACTTTTATAATAGAACTAATGTGTTTAAAAATGCTTCTATAAAGCTATATCACAGTTGTGATGTTTACACAAAGATTAAAGCACAATGATAAAATAGAGAATTTGGTTGCTCTTGTTTGATATGCGTGCATGATTCTATTGAATATTTCTCTTCTATGCTCTCACTATTTTATCCATCTTCATAGTCTCTTTATATAGAGGAAGTGAATTGAATCGTTGGAGTCATAAGAAATTATCTTTGGAAGGTTGATAAAATATTGTTAATGCACTTTCCAAAAATACATATCTTGTCTTGTTTCAGCCGTTACTCTTTTGACTTGTAATGAATTAATTATAATGCGTCAGAACTTTGCATCTTTAAAATCTGATCAGAATAAGAATATTGACATTGAAACTTTAGATTATCAGAGTTTCTTGAGATTCATATTGTAACACCCCAAATTCTACCCGGTAGTTATAACGAAAAATCAAAGTATTTAAAAATTTCTAACACATTTAGGACATCACAATTCAACATGTTGCAACACATAAACAAATACATAACACTTTAGTTCGGAGGATTATATAACAACTTGCATCAGCTTTTAAAACAAAACCACTTCTTTTATTAATAACGCAGCAAAATCAAAATTACAACTTCAAGTAGCATCATATGTTTCATTCAACTAAAACAACTTGAGAGGCAACACATTATTTCATATAATTAAACTTAGGATTCAACAACTAAAACAATTTCAACAAGTAAACAACTATTTGTTCATTTCCCCCTGAGTGCAACGTATCAGAGTGACCAACCGAATTTGAACTAATAAGGCTAAGCAAATCTTTATTCTTTAATACCTGCACGTTACCAACAGAGGGAAACATTCAAACAGTAAGGGGTGAGACTCTCAAATCGTATAAGTGAGCGCATGATAAATCATATATTAGAACCAGGTCATGCAAAAATCACCACTTCACAATAAAAATCGCAACAGGATATCATCAAAATGCAATAATTAATTCATCAACACAACAGCTCAATTGTACAACTTAGAATGCGACTCGATGTTATGCAAATGCATGTTGTACCATTGGAGCAGAACTCCCAACTTAGAAAATCTACTAATAGATAGAGGCATCAACAAGGCATAATCCTTCAACTTAATATTTTGCCAATCCAGGCCAACGTGGTTCCTATCCAGGCCAACTTAATAATGCAAATATATGTGACTTAATGAATGCAATAATCACATACAACACAATAATTATTCGACAACATTGGCATAAGCCTACAACTCAATCAACTAATCAATCACAACATATTCAACATCAACAATGTATTCAACAATGTTGGTATAAGCCTACAACTTAATCAACTTACAAATCACAACATGTTCAACAACAACAATATATTTAACAACATTGGCATAAGCCTACAATTTAGTACGTCACAACAACAATATCATATCAACAATTAGTAATGTGACAACCACACAATTTATTCGACAATAATATATTCACAGCAATAACCAAAAAACACAATCCCATATACCGGAACCATTCAACTTAATTCTACTTCACCTGCAAATCAACTTGATTCTACATAATTCTAAAAAAACAAATCAACTAAAAATACCCACATGTATATATGACTTATTCCGACAATTTCAACTAATTCTGGTTAACCAATTTTACCGCCCAAATCTACAAATTCGGCTAATCGATATTGCTTAATATACTGTTATTACTACCTTTTATTTATACTGCTACTAATCAATTTATTCTACTAAATTACATTACCTGTGCTATTTAGCTCATTGTTATTATTGGTCTCTGCCAAAACTACTCGTTCGCTATCTACAACTTCTACTGATAACTCTCTGCTAAATTATTACATCTGCCATTAATATACTACTCTGCCAAATTATTTATTACTAACTCTGCAACTAAAACCATAATTGCTATTTTAATTTCTACGTCTACTACTAACATAATTTTGCTAATTATTAACTCTGCTACTTTGTTCTACTATTCATCTAAATTTACTACTTACTATTATCTCTGCTATTATCCTCTATCACATATAACAACTCTACAAAAATATGCTACTTCTATTAATGTTCCTTCTGCTATAATAAGCTACTTATAAGAATAGTTTAATTTGTTCCCTATCTGCTTTTGTATTTAATAAACTCCATATTGATACCATATAAAATTTATATAGCAGTGCCACAGAAACAAAAACCAACGCCCCTGCCTAACACTTAGTTTCAAACGGCACTTTCCTCTTACAAGAGCCCTAGTGCCTAACGGAACTCCCCCTCTTCTCTCTCAAGGCTGCCGAACGGAAGCCCCGCACACATAACAAGTGTCGAACGAAACTTCCACCCCCAGATAAATTTTTATTTCTTCTTCTTATTTTCAATATTGTTTCAATAGATTTTCTGCTACTGTCTACTATTCTAAATCCAATCCAGACAAGTATATAGCACAGTAATACACAAATTCTTTGACAATTCCTTAATCACATCAATTATTAATAATGTTTATCACAACAACACAAACCAACACAAATCAACAGACAGTAATAATCCCACAAACTAATTTCTACATACAAAACATCATATACCCCATTATAGGATAAGAAACCCCACCCTTACCTGGTTTGGTTTGATGACAACTCCATGTGTCTCCGATTTGAATCTCCTCTTGGCCACTTGGTTCAACTTCACGTAGCTCTCTTCTTCTCCAAAAACCCTATTTTCCTCTTTCTCTTCTCTTTCCTGATAACACTAACTCTCTTCCTCTTTCTTATTTTCTAATAATAATATATATCATTCTATTGATCCAAATAATAGTGTTTCTCTTAGTGGACCTACATACACACCCCACTATTACTACTATCACAATATAAGCCCAATTAAATAAATAGTCACATAATATAATCTAATATTATTTCCAATAATATTGTTCAACTATGATCGATCCACACTTTAAATAAAACTAACTCACAAATAATATTCTAATAATAGTTCTCCGACTAAACTGTCTAATTTATCCGGCTATCAACTTACCGCTCAACTCAACATATTTATCCAATTATGCTTCTTAGAATAATACTGATAATTCTCAAATTAATTCCACTAAATTAAATTCGATTATTTAATATTCCAACTTAATAAAATAATTCCGACTTGACGATAAAATTCAATTAATATAAAGTATTCAAAACAATATTCAATTAAATAAATAATTAAATATCGGGGCGTTACAACTCTCCCCCACTTAGAATATTTTCGTCCTCGAAAATCTACTCAGTACTTCCATCCTTAACGTGAACCTCGTATCCAACTCTTTAATCCTCAAACTCCGCTTTTACCAACACTTCGGCCACTACCTTTTTAACATAGTAACTACTCAATCATGATGTAAATCTACTACACGCATGCTAATCACTCAACACCCTCACGACATACCCGTCCATAACTTACCAACTTTTTCAGCAACACTCTGACATAACAACTCCCATAGTAGAAATGTAACAACCATAACTCACTTATACTTAGATATACCACGTCACCTCTTAACAACTTTCCCAACACCAAAGCGCGTATACAACTTTATTCTCATACGTATATGTATGTCCACTATCAACAAAATATCAACAACTCTATTCACCATTATAGTGACATCAACATAGTCAACAAAATTAACTTCGTTATATTATGGAGTATTATTCATCCTTTATGGCAACCAACAACAACATCACGGCAACAATAAAAAAATAATTACAACATCAACTTAACTGTATAACTCAGCAAGCATACCCATAGCTCACCATCAACCAACAATCCACAATAATCTTCATATAAAATTTGCAAATATTTACTAGCAAACATAGTACTCTGGCATATCATCTCTACATCGACAATCTACCAAATCAAGCATGTAGATTAATACACACCATTCTTATAGACTTTTGATGTTTTAATCCTTCACTTCTAACGAGTCATATACGCATAACAATTTTGCCACATCACGCTTCAGCTGCGCAACTCTGATCATCCATCTTAAGTCATTGTCCTCATTAAATTTTGTGTCGATTATATGGTTTACAAGTTTCAATCTAATTCCAGAATTTCCTCAACATCCACCATAAAACCATTGTTCACTTGATATTCTCAATCTTTCACATTTGCAACGTTAGCTCGCATATAACTCGCTACTCCGACTTGTTCCACGATGTAGCATCAACTACTTTACACACCATTAAGATAGCACAACAAATCTATATCATCCAATATGGTCTCATCTACTATCAACAATGGATTGAGGGTGATCAGTTCCTCAATTTGTCAATTAGTATTCGACAACCATAAGGGAGTATAAATCATCGTACCAAACTATAATAGCGTTTCCTTAAAACTTGTATTCAAGTTTTCTAAAACACAACCTGTCTAATCCTCATTCACCCACCATCCCACGATGATCAATCATTTTCTAACTCACGATCTGTTGGTGTATCAATACATTACAAACCCTTCCACTCCAGTCTGAGTCTTTATCTACATAAAGGATTCTAACAACATTCTTAAACTCTTAATCCTCTTCCAAATTTCACAACATCAAAAATACATGTAT